TGGAACTGCAGCCTTCCCCACCAGTGAGTATTACGCCTATGGTGCAGTCTTGAAGCTGTTTTTTTTTGTGTGGTTTGCCTCCTGCCCACTGGGAAGCCCAGGCTCCTTTCATTTTCACTCTTCTACAACTTTAGTGCTTTTGAACACAGAACCCCCATCCTTCCACCACCTGAACTCTGCATTCCAACTGTGTGATCTCATGGTACCAGGCATATCTCCCCTGCCACGCCGCCAGGCCGCCTGCTGGCTCTCGCAGGAGGAACAGACAGGAGCATAAACTCACCCTAGAGGAGCAGAATGCTCTCTGTATATTTTTAAGACTAGGAATCCAGCTCCCATTTAGAGTCTGTATTTTTTTTAATAACTCCTTGAAAATTGAACAAAACATTTCTTGTTGCTCTTATTTTGTGATAATATCATTCCTTCTGCACCAATGTATAGAATCTCAGAAACTAGAGAGTGGAAAAGATGTATTAGGTCATGTCTAACCCGTTCCCACAGGTCCCAATTCTTTTTCCCACAGTCTCTCCTCTAGTGCTTTTCTCTTGTAGTTTTCTCAAGAATTTGTTTCCTCCATTTCTCCTGGGGAATGATTTCTTAGTTTGACCATGGAGGAATTTATGTAGAAATATTCATATTCTTTTTTTTTTTTTCAGCTCAGTATTTCTAGTCTTTATAACCCTTTACATTACTATAAGCAGTCCCTCTTCTTTCTGGGTCAAATATTTCTGGATGGAATTTTTTTCCCCCTTCCATTTATTAAGTTCAGAGTTTGTTTTTCTGCTTTGTTTTTTCTCTTCATCAATCAGCCCGAAAGGCCATTAATCATGTTTTACTGTACTGAAAATTCCTTTGCTTATTCCCATACCAGGAACCCAGAACTGCTGCGGTCCCTGGGTCCTGGAGGAAGCCTCTCCTCTAATATATGTCCTCATTCTGTGCCCTCCCTCCTCCTCATTCCCTTCTCTCTCTCTCTCTCTCTCTCTCTCTCTCTCTCTCTCTCTCTCTTTTCTTCTCCTTCTCTCTCTCCCTCCCTCCTTCCTCAGTCCCCCTATTTCCCCTCAATTCTCAATTGGAAAGTATTCTTAAAGTACTGTTTATAAATTATGGTTTGGGGAGTTAGTCATTTGAAGATGTAATGAAAGTGTGTGTGCGTTTATGATTTTGGATAGTTAGCTTATATTTGTTTTCAGTTACCGAAATGGTAATTTTCATATCCTCAGAGCCACAAATCTGTTGGCTCCTTGGAGTGCTTGAATCAAGTACAATTCTAGACCATGGAACTGCGATGGAACATTCTATTTTAGAGCTGTCATCTTAGCACTAGGCAGGAAAATAAACAGTTATTTGTATATTTTGAGGAAAGGGAAGGGGAAAATTGAAGAAGCCTCGGCACTCACGTATTTGATGTTGGTTATCTCTCAGGAGCTAGTGTTACGCATAAAGATGAAAACCTGATAGACTATATGGTTTCCTGGAAAGGGCAGTCCAGGGTGGTGGTTCTGATGAAAGCAATCCTCAAGCCTCAACGTAACACCAATCCAAAAAAAAAAAAAAAAAAAAAAAAAAAAAAAACTTCAGCAGGTTTCTTTTTTTCTTCCTTGAGCTGGACAAAATGATTCCAAAATATATTGGTAAGCATAAAGGTACAAGGTTGGGTAAGAGACTGTGGAAGAAAAGAAGAGAACAAGACTCAATCCACCAGGTCCCAGGACTTATTAAAAAGCAGTATGGTTCTGTCACAGATATAGACTAATAGATCAGTGGGATACATTTGAAAGAACAGATCCTTACTGTATTCTTCCTACTGCAGCCTTTTCATGGCAGAGATGACATTCCAGAGTCTTTTCAATAAATTATGCCAGAACAAGGAGAGATCCATACTAGGTGTGTGGGGGTGGAGAAGACTGGATGCCTGCCTCATGTAATATGCAAAAAAATCCACCTGCAGACAGACTTAAATGTAAATGATAAAACTTAAACATGTGTGCACATGTACATGCTTTGTATATGTATATGTTTGTATATTTCTTGTACATGTCTTTGTGATCTCCTGATGTTGAAAGATTTCTTCTGACATCAAACTCCTGTTTTCAAAAGTTGTATATTTGACTGATAAAATTAAGAACTTCCCTTCCTCGGAAGATAACATAAAGAGAAGACATACAGCCAAAGGATGAGGGAATATATTTCTTATACATGTAATTGACAGAATATTAATATCTAGCATATATGCAAATTCTGAAATCAATGAATGACAATCCAATCAGAAAAATAGGCAAAATAACCTGAAGATTTTCTTCACAAAGGTAAAAAGAGCCAATAATCAAAAGAGTTGTCTTTAATAAAAAGATGAAATTAAACCATGCAATTGTACCTCAGATCCAACACAGTAGCTAAAGATAAAGGGAAGAGCAACTACAGGAACTGGTGGTAGGAAGGACACGAATAGCTCACCATGGACCAGTAGAGTTGAAGATATGCATACATACCTTATACACACACACACACACACACACACACACACACACGTTCGCGTGTGCTCTACAGAAATTTGGCATAATACGCAAAGGCAGGTTTGCAAGGTTGGTACTTTATTTCCCCTGTAACATTATTTTGCGAGTCCTACAATATTCCAAATGTAAACTCATAATAGATGGTGGCTAAGCAAAACGAGGTAGGCAGAAAGAGGGAACACATGGCTCAAAGTCAGCGACACTTGTCTTAAAATCCCGGTTCCACTACTTACTAGCTGTGTGATCACAGGTGATATCCTCAGTTTGCTCTCCTGGGAACTGGAGATAATAATATACCTAACACATTGGGAGCAGTAAGTTTAAGTATACTAATGTATATAAGGCTCTGAGCATAAATGCTAGGAGCATAGTATTTGTCTAGTCAGTTAATTTTACTAATATTCTGCTGCAGTGATTGTTAAAATGATGATGCATTTTTTTTCCAGAACTTTTTAGTTACAGCACTTTTACTGATGCATATATCTATATTTTACTGTAGAATTTTTAAATCATTTGGGGAAAAATAGCATTTTTTGTCTGATACTGCATTTTTTTCTTCTCATTTTTTAAATTAATTTTATTGGTACCTTTTAGGTATACAATATAATGACATTCATCATTGGAAATTTGCACCTTTGCATAAGCCATCTTGGTTCTTATTTTTTCCCTATGCCCATACATATCTTTGTGATCTCTTGATGTTGGAAGATATCTATGACATCAAACTCCTGTTTTCAAAACTCCTCCCTTCAACCCTCTGCCCTCCCTATCTACAAAGACTTTATTTCCACTTTTTCTTTTTCTCATATTAATTCCATTCCCTTCTTTCTTTTTCCCTACCCCTCCCACTTCCCCTTCCCCTTTGCACCTTTTCTTCCTATTTCGTATTATCTATTTTACTTTTTAGTTCTTATTTACACTTTCAGTTTCATTTTTCTATTATAACTATTAATACTAAAAAGTATAATCCAAAAGGGAAATGACAAAAACCGTTTTTATAACATAAGATTATGCAGAATTAAAGATGTCCTTCTGAAGAAATGAAAACATAAGTATGATTTTATCAAAATTAAAAGGACACTGAAGTACAAAAAAGTTAAATATTATCAAAAAATAATATTCAAAATAAAATGTATGAGGTAAGATGAAGATGTATGGTGAGGGGCTGGGGATGTAGTTCAGAAGCACTGCGCCTGCCTGGCAAGAGCAAGGTCCTGAATTCCATTCCTGGTCGTGGGCAAAGAAGAAAATAGCGGTAAGTGTTTAAATTTTTCCAAACAAATTTTTACAATAAAAGACACGTTGCCAGTGGAGTCAGGGATTTGGCTCAGTGGTTCTGCCACCTGCCTTGCAAGCGCAAGGTCCTGAGTTCAATCCCTGGTACCACACACACACACACACACACACACACACACACACACACATTGCCATTAACCCCCCTCAAAATACTCCCTCTACCTTCAAACACACTCATCATTCTTGCTACTTTCTGAAGCGGTTCTGGAAGTCCTCTGTCCTGGCCACCTCCGTGTCCTGAATCGATTCAAAACCTTTACCATTCATGATCACTTGGGTTTTCAGGAAGAACCTGAAGTCACACAGTGCCAAGTCCGGTGCGCGATGTGGATGGGGACACATGGTGACGTTTTTGGCAGGTCTTCCTTTCCCTGGGATGGCGCTCAGCAGCAGCGTTCTTAAACTTCTTAGAGACATTCTTGATATTTACACTTCTTAAAGACATTCACAAGAAAAAGGATTTCCCAGAACTGCTTCAGAAAATGGCGAGATGGTGCAATAAATGTGTTCAAAGCAAAGAGGGTATTTTGACGGGGATTCGCGGCAAGGTATGTTGTGCTGTGATAATTTTTTTAGATTTGCACATTCACTGTGTCTTTTTATCACTTGATATGTTTCTTGATTTTGAGCTCAAGATTCTGTACTTTACATTGATATCAGTAATTATTTTTTTAAACCATAACTACATAGGAGTAACCTTTATCCCTGATGCTATGGCCTTCATTTCCCTAATGGTAAAATAAGTGTAATCACATGAGAAGCACTTGAGGTTCTTTTAATGGATAATGTAATTTGATCCTATGTCAGCATCGTTTTCATTGATCACCAGAATGACAGAATCATCTTCTCTTCCTGGGGACTGCTGCCTGTAAAATTCATCTTTTGATAATGGTCATGATTCCGTTGCCACATTGAACCTTTATTTATATTTTCCTAAGTGCAGTCTTCTTCTGTACCTTTGTGTGTGCAAGCTTTTGAATGCAAAAAAAAAAATTTTTTTTTGTTGTCATTTTCTGCCGTTAGTAGTGATTTACGAAAAGTAGGTTAAAAAAATGCATGATGATGATGGCTTATCTATCAAATTGCAGTTTGCAAAAATAGCACTAGCTTTCATAGTTGTGGTTACATGAGCATAGGAACCCTAAATTCTGCCTCAAAAGCAAATATATTTGTTTTCCTTTTTTCCAGAAAGACAGCATGAAGCGAGTGTTTTCTGGCATTCAGCCTACAGGAATCCTCCACCTGGGAAATTACCTGGGAGCCATTGAGAGCTGGGTGAAGTTACAGGACCAGTACAACACGGTGCTTTACAGCATTGTTGACCTCCACTCCCTCACTGTCCCCCAAGACCCCGCCACCCTTCGGCAGAGCATCCTTGACATGACTGCTGCTCTCCTTGCCTGCGGCATAAACCCAGAGAAAAGCATCCTTTTCCAACAATCTCAGGTTAGCTCTTCAGATTACAACTGAGAAAAGCTTTATTTTCACATGATATGAAGGAAAATTTCAATAGTTCATACAGCTTTCTCATGGTTTTTAACAATTGAAGATGACTTCATTGAATGTGATTATTCCACTTTAATCTTTTACCTTTATTCATATCATTAGGTATCTTCCTATTGCAGTAGTATTTTTCAGCTCTTCTTCCACTATTCTTAGTAAATTTATAGTCCTTCATCTACCAAAACATGGCATCTTATCAATACTTCTAAACTTAAAATTGTTTTTCTCTATTGGGTTTGTTTAACCTGATGACTTCCTGCTATTGACTCATCTCTTTGATTAAGAATAAGATACAGTGATCAGTAGTTTTACATAATTCCAGTGTTGCTTTGTTGAGTGTGTATTTGGAAGGCTTTTTGGACAATTCCCATTGTTCATTTGTTGTATAATAGCTTTTGAGAAGATTTGATAAAGTAAGCTGGGAAATTGGAAGACAAATCCCAGTGTCTAGTGGCCAAGCCAAGAAAGGCTTCAAAACAAAGCCAAAATATTTGGCTGAGTCAGTTTATTCTTGGACAGACAAATGGTCTGGCCCTGATACAGGACAACTAAGAGACACCTTAGCAGACAAGACTCAAATTCTAACTGGATTGTGCCCTTACTACATATTTACTTTGACCTGCAGCAAAAGAGTGACTTTCCTTAATCATAAGCATCTATCAGTATTTTAATATATGTTTCATTACCCACACAACTTAATGTTATGATTCATACAAAGCAAGTGGTTAAAATACATATTATGGAGTTGAGGTATGGTTCAGTGGTAGACTGTTTGCCTAGCATGCTCAGTGCCCTGAGTTTGATTTCCATTTCTACAAAACACACACACACACACACACACACACACACACGCTAACACACACATACACACTAAGTGAAAAGAGTTATCTTCAAAAAATAAATGAAATGGGCTGGGGATTTAGCTCAGTGGCGCCTCCACCTGCCTCGCAAGCTTAAGGTCCCGAGTTTAATCCCCAGTACCAAAACAAAACAAAACAAAAATAAATGAAGTAGGGCCGGGGATTTAGATCAGTGGTTCTGGCGACTGTCTCGCAAGCGCAAGGACCTGAATTTGATCCCCGGTACCAAAAAATAAAAAATAAAATAAAGTTATCAATTTAAGCTCATTGAGAGCATGTAGATATTTTTGATAAAATACTAGAATATACTCATTCAAAGGCCCATAAAGACAATTAACCCCAAGGTTTTACTATTGTTTTCTTTTCACAGTTGGTCGAGAAACACTTACTTACATATGGCTTTTCAAATTCAGTTTTGGACAGCTCTAATTGCTGTAAAGTACTTGCTTATTTGGAGCAAATATCTGACTTTCTGTAATTTCCGTCCATTCATTTTACCTTCTTCAGGTTAGTTCTTCCCAGTTCTCTCAGTCTCAGGGATCCTACCTTAGAAGCATTCTCACTTTCTCTCCCATATTTTGCAAAATAGGTTTATTCAAACTCTGCATCCTCTCCGACAGGGAAAGGTGGCTATCATCAGAGTCATCTTTTGAGTCACCCAATGCATTTTGCAAAGCACATCTTCTTCATTCCATCTGAGCTGTGTTTGATGAAAACTCTATCTTGATCCTTATTTGATGCTATTTCTAAAAAATTGCACTCCCAATCACAAGTACACATTTTCTTGCTTTCTAGACAGAATATATCAATCCCCACAAAGTCACTCCTTGGCAGATGGCTTTTCTAAGTAACAATTAAAAGCCTATTATAGTCACATTCAACCATTGTACTTTAAACTTACTCCTCCAGAGATAATTACTATATTACAATGTTAACATATTATCAATATGTTTTCCTTTGTAAAGCGTTTTTGTCAGTGACCTCTACAGGCATCTAAGACTCTCAGTAATTGATAGTCTTCTTCTATATTGTACATTATTATACAAAACAGCAGTTATGGAAGAGTAGCCACAATATGAAAGACTTTGCTTATGCCCTTTCCTAGGTGAGGGATAAGGAAACTCACTTTCCATTTGAATGGTGCCCAGGTGCCTCACAAGCTCACAGATTCCGAGAAGGCTGTGGCTCCAGGTCACAGAGTGCAATGGCAATGGCGACTAGCAGGTGCTTGCCTCCTCAGAGGGGTCAGCATCAGGCTGAGGCACCCCCGAGATTCCCTAACTGCCACCGGGGACTGAGCTGTGCTACCAGGAATTTTGATAGTTCACGGGCTAGCTTGAGGGAAGTACTCCTTTTGCCTACATTTCGTAATTGTTTCTGTAGATCCAATCTGAAAGGCTTCCTCAGTCTCTTTGACTACAAGACATTTTAGTCTTGACCATCTCCTGGATTTTTGATTAACAAATAAAACCTGACTAAATTTATGAATACAACATGTTGTTTTGATCTATCTATACTTTGCAAAATGGCTAATTCAAGCTCATGAATGTATTAATTGCCCCACATTTTTGTGGTGAGAACACTTAAAATCTACTCTTTTTGTACATTGTTGTTGACTATAGTCCTGTGGTATACAATAGACTTTTCAAAATCTCCTAACTGTAATGTTGTATCTTGTATGATTTGCCCAACATCTCTCCATTTTCCCACCGCCCTACCCTAATAACCACTCTTTGCTTCTGTTTCTTCAATTTTTGTTAGTTTCCACCTAAGCTCTATAGGGTGTTGCTATTTCTGTGCCTCATTTATTTCACTTAACTTAATTTCTTCTAGGTTCATCCGTGTTGTCACAAATGATAGCCTTTCCTTCTTTTTTAAGACTGTATAGTATTCTTTTGTGTGTATATATATTTATGCCATGTTTTCTGTATCCATTCATCTGTTGATTGAGATAGGTTAACTCCATATCTTGGCTATTGTGAATAATGCTGTAGTAATCACGGGAGGGCAAACATCTCTTTGATATACTGATTTTTGTATCCTTTGGATATATACCCAATAGTGTGTTTGTGTGACGTTTCTATTTTTAATTTTCTTTGCAACCTCCATATCATTTTCCATGATCACTAGCAGCAAAGAGGGGTTCCCTTTTCCCATGTTCTGTCAACACTTGTTATCTTTTGACTTTTTTGTAGTATCCATTGAAACAATGTGAAAATTTCCAAAAGTGGGGACAGAAAATAAAATCAATCAGCATTTTTAGATTTATAAAAAGAGTTGCAAGTCACATTTATTACAAAACTAATATTTTGAAATTAGTTTTACCCAGCCCTTTCATATGTGTGACTTTTTTGTTAATTATCAGAACAGACACAAGAGTTAGTTGGGTCTGGTATCCTTCTGTTACTGGTGATTAAATAAAGGTATAAAGAGATGACTGTTATTCCACCAGATCCACCATTAACCTGGGCCAGGCTTCTCTAGACTCAGGGCATGCCACATGGCACTTCCTAGGCTGTGGAAACTTGCATTTCACAAATACTCTTTACTCATGTAATTTTTTTTTTTTTTTTTTTTTTTTT